TTATTATTATTATTATTATTATTATTATTATTATTATTATTATTATTTTGCTTCTTCTACAACAGGTGCCATAACTCGAAGGACATATTAGGGAAGAGCCTTGCGGAGCTGCAGAAACAGTTTGCCGAGATCTTCGCTCGTTCCCAGCAAGAAAACGAATCGTGCCAGGCCCGGGAGAGATTGCTTCAGAAAGAGATGGCTACTCAGCGGGCCGAGCTGGAAGAAGCCCAAGAAAAGTATAAACTGGCCTGCAACAGAGCTGCAGAAGCCAAAGTAAGGAAAAAAAAGAGGGGGGCAAATTATAGCCAGAGGGAGGAAAGGTCGCTCAGCGTTTGGGCAGAAATCTTTTTATAAAGTAATACGTTGTTTTCATGGGACACTTTTTCTCAGTCCTGCAACTAATACTATGTAGAAGGTCTTTGGCTTGATCCTGAATCCTTACCTGCATCTAATTAAACAGAATGAGATGCTTTCCTGTTTCCTTGCTCTCGAACTGCGATGATCAAGGCTTTAAGGGTCCCCAACTCCCCATCTTGAGACCCCAAGAGTATTGCTGAAGATCAGAGCTCCCCTCTAAAAACAGCCGTTGGGTTATAATAAAAAATGACAAATAAGATTTTCAGCCTGTTCCTTCCCACTTCTTCTCGTTCCACCTTTTACGCTAAAAAAATCCAGACCTTTTTTTTACATCAGTGGGAATGCCTGAGGTTGACAAGATACCCTGTTGGTGTCATTCCCTGACTTTCCTTTGTTTCTTGTATTTATCTAGATTAAATCCGAGAGGAGGCAGAACGAGGCTCGTGTTCAGCAGCTGGAGGGTGAAATCCAACATCTCGTTGAAAAGCTGAAGAGCATGGAAGAAATTCAGGGCCTCACCGACCAACAGCTTCAAGAAGCTGACGAGGAGAAAGATCAAATCCTTGCTGAGTTGGAAGACTTGGAGAATACGGTGGGTATCTCCTCTTGAAGGTCCACAAAAATATCTAGCGATTGGGTTTATTTTTTAGGGTGGATGCATTCTGTTGGAAGGATAGGTTAGAACAGAGTATAGCTGGAAGGGACCTTGGAGGTCTTCTAGTCCAACCTCCTGCTCAGGCAGGAGACCCTATATTACTTCAGACAGTGGCTGTCCAGTCTCTTCTTGAAAACCTCCAGTGTTGGAGCATCCACAACTTCTGGAGGCAAGGAGTTCCACTGATGAATTGTCCTCCCTGTCAGGAAATTCCTCCTTAGTTCCGGGTTGCTTCTCTCCTAGATTAGTTTCCATCCATTGCTTCTTGTCCTGCCTTCAGGGGCTTTGGAGGATAGCTTGACCCCTTCCTCTTCTTTGGGGCAGCCCCTCAAATATTAGGAGACTGCTACCACGTCACCCACTGGTCCTTCTTTTCCCTAGACTAGCCACACCCCAGTTCCTGCAACCAGTCTTCCTATGTTTTTGCCTCCAGGCCCTTAATCATTTTAGTTGCTTTTTCCCCCCCCCCTGCAATTCCCTGGTCCCCCAAGGTGAATCCTGGTTATTTCACTGTAGCTTTCAGCGCTTTCTTTCGCTTTGCTCAAACCTGTTGGATGCACTTTTGTGGGTCTTTCCAGAAAAAGGCGGAAGACGCGAGGGCACAGCTGCAGTTCCACAGCCTCAGCAAGGAGCTGAAGGCGTTGAAAGAAGCCATTTCCGCTTCCGATAAACAGGCCGCAGCCCAGCTCTGTGCGGCCAAAGACCAGCTCCAGTCGCTGCATGGGACCGTATGCAGGATTAATCGGGAACGTTCTGAGGTATGGCGCTGCGGCTGCTGCTGCTGATACTCCCCGCTCAAGACTGTGACAACCAAATCCTCATTGCTTCCAGAAAGGAAACCTGTGTTTGAGACCTGTAGCTAAGCAAACTTTATCATTACATCTTATCATTTATCATTATATGTAAACTTTATTTATATGAATGCTGGTGAATCCAGCAAGAGGTACAGAGAGATTCCAAAGAACGGTAGCCTTGAACACTGAGAGGGCATTGAAGGTCTCTGCAGCTGCTCTCTTGCAAATTAGTTCAATGCACAATCCCTTCTGCAAAATGGTGATTTGGCGTTTCTCCCCCTTTCCTTTTTCCTCCCAACTGAAGGAGCTTCAGGAGGCAGAAAAGTTCTGCATGCAGGCCACGCAAGCGGCTAAGGATCTGGCCAGAGCAGAGGCAGAAATAGGCCTTTTGCAGAAGCTTCTCGGAGAAAAGGAGGCGCAGGTATGTTCGGTTTGCAAACGTCCCCTTTCCACAATGGAGCCCTGGAGGCAAACTCTGCCTACCGCCTGAAATTCGATCCTGACCGGCTCAGGGTTGACTCATCCTTCCGTCCTTCCAAGGTCGGTAAAAGGAGGACCCAGATTGTTGGGGGCCAAGAGGCTGGCTCTGGAAACCACTTAGAGGGGGCTGTGAAGCACTATGGGATGGTATACTTTACAACCACAATTTCAACTTGAGGACCACAGTTGAGCCCAAAATTTCTGTTGCTAACCGAAACTTTCGTTGAGTGAGTTTTGCCCTATTTTACGGCCTTGCTTGCCAGAGTTGTTAAGTGAAGGAGAGTTTTCGTCAGAAAGAGCCGGGGGGGGGGGGGGGGGGGGGCAGGAAGGATCCCACGTCCCCATTCGGCTGGGCCCATCTTGCCTCCTCTGCCCAGGGAGAGGACTCAAAAGGATTGTCTCTGACTCTGGTCCTCCTTGGTTTTACACGGGATTCAAATCCATCCCCCAGTCTTTGACCCGCATGTCAGCGTGGGTTAAAGCTGTGGACTCGAAGGGCTTGATTTGGGGCCCCCTCGAAAGTTCTCCGCTCAAAATAAAACCCTTTTCCACATTGCAGCTGGAATTGGAGAAAGACGCCGCCGAGACGGCAGCTTGGCACTTTCAGAAGGAAGAGTGGGAGAAGTTGAATGGGCTTCTGAAATGGCAGAAAGCAGAAACGGACCGACTCCGCCGAGCCTTAGATCAGGCCAAGAACGGTTGGTTTCTTTTCCCTGGCTTTTTGGCAAACGTGGACGGAGTGGCACTCTTTCCGCGAAAGAAGCTGCGCCGACGGAATAACGAAGGCGCTTCAAACAGACAACCGACCTGCTTAAAACGCGCTGAATTTTTAACCCCCCTTGCAGGCAACAGGGCTGAAATGGAAGGCGTCCTGGGGGAAATCGAAGGACTCCGGCGCACGCTCTCTCAGCAGAATGATACCATCGCTCGCTTCGCGGCTCCACTCCAGCAGGGCCCACAGCTGGTTTTTGTGCCGTCCTCATCCCAAGTATGAAAACCGTCCCACGGTTTGCCTTGGAAGGAGCTTTAAGTCAAATCCGGTGGGGTTGCTGACAAGGCTGCCCTTTGCTTTCATTAAACAAAAACAAACCCCAAACACCTGGAGCTGGGAAGCGCCATTTTATCTCACGCTTCATCCCGCCTCAAGCCCTAGCTACTGGCAACCCTCTCTCCAACTGGCTAAGCCGAAGTAAGATAAACATTTGAGTTTTCCTGAGTGGAAGCCGAAACTAGGCCCAGCCAGTTTCTATTATCCACAATTTCTTTTCAAGATTTTCCATACAGATTTTTCCCCTGCAGTCCCCAGAGAGAAGGAAAACGACAGCGTTTATACACAGCTTTGTGAATTGCCCTAACTTGGAGGATTTCCATAACAAAATGATCATAGCCCCTTTTCCCCCTTTCTTTCCCCCTTGTAGGTACAGGTGTTTGCCTATTTCTAGTGCCCAAGTCAGCTTCTATAGCATAGTATGTTGCCTTATTTTGATAGAAGGGTCCATGGGTATCTTTTTGCAAGCCATTTCTTCCCAGCGGCTGAAATAATAGCTTTTACTCCCTTATTTTTTTGCCTGAAATACTCTCATTACATTGGGGCCCTCCCTTCTGGGGAATATTTCTCTCAACTCAAGCTGGTTATTTATTGTTGTCTATCTTCCTTTTCCAAGGCGTCGACTCCTGCTTCCCAGAGCACCAAAGATTCCGGCGTTATCTTACAGTGTCCCGTGTCGACACCCGTCATCAAACCGAACAGGAAGCTGAGCGAAAGCAGGAAAGCCCCTGATCCTGCTTCAGGAGAGTGCTGCGTGCACGGCTCAGGCCCAGCTGGCCTGCAGGAACCCTCCTCTGGCAGTAAGTCAGTTCAGCTAACCGTCTTGCAAGTTACTCCCTTATTTCCCAGAGAAACCAGGCAGATGATTTGCCTGGCGTAGCAGCCTCTCTCTTTGCTCCCAGGAGGGAGGTGGGTGCTTTTAAAATTTGACAAATAAATAAAAGGTCGTAATAACGAGCCACGGTGGCGCAGTGCTTAGAGGGCGGTCCTGCAGTTCCAATTCCACCAGGCTCATGGTTGACTCGTCCTTCCGAGGTTCATAAAATGAGGACCCAGATTGTCGGGGGACAAATAGGCTGACTCTGTAAAATGGCTTAGAGGGGGCCGTGAAGCGGCATAGAAGTGCCAGGGCTATGTCTCCTGGCTACGTGCAGTGTGTTACTGGGAACCAGTGGAAGGCAAAGACTTTGGATTGTAACCCTGACTGTAAAGGGAATATTCTTGGCATTGGTTTCGTATGACTAGTTTCCAAGGGGAGGAACACCCTCCATTACAGGTAGTCCTCGGCTCACAACAGTTCGTTTAGTGGCCGTTCAAAGTTACAACGGCACTGAAAAATGTGACTTACATCTGTCTTTCACGCTTCCGACCTTTGTGGCAGGGCCATGATGGCACGATCAAAATTCAACCGCTTGGCAACTGCTTCCTAGTTATGACCCTCGTTGTGTCCTGGGGGGGTGGGGGTGTCACGTGATCTCCTTTTGCGACCTTCTGACAGTCCGCGGGGAAGCCAGATTCACCCAACGACCGGGTTACTCCCTTACCAACTGCAGTGATTGGCTTAACCACTATGGAAAAGGAAGGTCGTAAAAGGGGGCGGGGGGGGGGCACTTAACAAGCATCTCCCTTAACAACTGAAACGCTGGGCTCAACTGTGGTCGTAAGTCGAGGAGCAATTCTTCTGTGCCCCTGAGCTCCGAGGCGCTGCCGCCTCTTTTCCCGAGCGTGCCGTTTGCGTCTCTGTGTTGTTCCACAAAGGGCCTCTTCCTCCTGCCCTCCAGCATTTAACGGGGATTCCGTTCACTGTGTCTCACCCAGAAGGGCACCAGAGCGACGGGGAAACCCTGCCCGGCGCCGCTCCTTGCCTCCTGCCTCCCGGATCCATCATCTACACCCTGCTGCCAGATGGCAACCCAGTGCCCCAGGGGACGGTGCTGTATGGCCTGCAGCCTCCTTCCGCGCAAGCCAGCGGAGGCCCAGTCACTCCCACATCCGTGGTCTACGGTTCACCTCCCACCGGCGTCCAGCTGCACTACGGTCTTCTCCCTGCCAACTACTCGGTGCCACTGGTTCCCCTGGGGGTCCTTCATTGCAACATCCCGGACCACCTGAACTTGGTAAGAGGCGGCACAGTCGGGTTAGTTGGACGAATATTTTAAACTTTTAAAGTTGGAGACCCACAACTTTTGAAGGCAAACGATTCCATTGGTTGCTCTCACCGTTAGGAAATTCCTCCTTAATTCCAGTTGCTTCTCTCCTACGTTAGTTTCCATCCACTGCTTCTTGTCTTGCCTTCTGGTGCTTTGGAAAATAGTTTGACACACACACACACCCTTCTCTGTGGCAGCCCCTGAAATATTGGCGCACCGCTGTCCTTTCTCCCCTGATTGGATCAGGAGGCAGAGAGAGACTCTAACGAAGCACCTGGTCTCCATCCTTTGCAGGAAAACGACATCTTGAGGCTAGAAGACAGCCTGGAGACGTTGAGGTCTCGGCGACAGAAAGATGAGTCCTGCAGAACTTCTCGTGCACCTAATAAAGAGATGGAAGAACTGAGCCAGGGCATACAGGGCCTGTTGAAGGAGAAAGAAGAGCTGGAGTCCCAGGTCGCAGAGCTGCAGCGAGTAGCCCAGAAGAGAAGTCAACGCCACATGTGAGCAAGCTCTCTAGCAAAACTCTTAACCGCCACAAAACAAAATCTACGCTGAGATTTTCTTCTGGGTAGAACTTTTTTTAGCCCATTTAGCAAGAAAGAGGTAGGAGATGCCTTTTAGAAAGTTTTTCCCTGTGAAGGTCCTGTGATGTAGGGAGCAAGCCATGTTTCCTCATGTGGATAACTTTATCATAACTTTGTCATACTATCATTTATTAAACAAATAGCTTGGCTTTCCTTGCAGAACTCTTGTTTACCTTAAAGCTGGTGTATAAGAGACAGGAACAATTGAGCTAAGGTTGAGGGCAGAAAATCAATGATATTTCTGGCTACCTGTCTCCCTTCCTTCCTTCCTTCCTCTCCGCTTTAGAGATTTGATCGAAGGGCGTGGGGATGACCTCACTGCAGAGCTGGAATTGGAAAATTCGATCCAGTGTCATGAAAGTATCATGGATGAAATTGAATGCGTGGAAAAGACGCTTTTGAAGCGACGGGCAGAACTCAGAGAGGCAGACTGTCTTCTGGCTGAAGCCGAAACCGAGCTGGAAAATACTCGAGGAAAGGTAATTTTATCGTCTTGGTTTCAAATGACTGCCCGTGACTTCTCACTGTGGTTTGCCCTGTATCTCCTTAGCCCTTCCAAGGGCTGGATAACAGAATTGTTCTTCTCTGACTAGTCATAGAGGAGAAACATTCACGATTCTTCCTTGACTAGCCGTGCCCCTTCTGATTTCCCTTTCTAGACCAAAGAGACTATTCAGAAATACAACACCGCTAAGCAGCATTTGTCTCGCACCGAGAAAGAAGCTGAGGAACTTGAACGGCGGACTCAGGAGATGGCTGTAAGGCTTGTGAAGGCAGATCAGGAGCTCAGGTGAACATAGGCGGCTTTTAAGGGCACCTTCTTCACCCCAACATAACAGGGCCAGATGGCGGCTCAGGACATTGGGAACACACAGTCATTAAGAGTTCTTGTTTGCCTTTACGGGCGTGTAACAGTTGCTCTGGGAGAAGAATCCGTGTGGCAGGCAGCCTGTATATTTATGCACACCCGACTTTCTTAACCTGCAATCAATTTAACTGCTTTGATCGTCAGCTGCCCTTCTCTGTATTTACTCAGCTTTCATTATTATTTAACTACAGTGCTGACTTCGGTGCACATTTAGCCGTTTTATTATAAACCTCTCCCTGAGCTTGTCTAAGCCAGCAGAATGGCATCCCTTAAACCGAGCAGAAAATTCAGTTTCCAAACACGGATCCTCCAAAATCCCAAACCAGATTGCTCCTGGCCTCAAGGAGACTGAAATCCCCTGGGTTACCAATGATTTCTTTGCACAAGTGCAAAGAAGGAGAATAAAGAGGGTCTGTCATCAGACCCTCTTCCTAAGGACCACGCGGGAAACGAAAGAAAGAAACACTCAAGAATTATTGGGTTAGGTGTGTGTTTCAGGGATTACAGAATTTGCCTATCGGACATTTTAAGTTTAGCTTGTGGTTTTTAAAAAATAACACCCCCCCACCCCAAAAGAATCGATTTTCACAAGCAAGCAATCAAGAGATTTTTGATGGCTGCTTTTCAGGTTTCTTCAAGCAAACGCCCAGGATTTACAACAGCACAAAATGGAACAAGAAGGAATTCTGAAAGAAATCAACCAAATTGTATCGGCAAAAGATTCTGAATTTCAAGTCTTGAGCCAGAAGATAGAAATATTGACCGAAAGGTATTTTTTAGACTGGTGCATCTGACGGACATCAAACTTCCTGGGTAGACGGGGTTCATCTTCTCTTTTTTTTACTTCTCTCTATAATCTCCAACGTGCCTTTCTCTAAAATTCCCTTTAAGACCCCATGAGCACCCGTAATACTGTGCCTTTTGGGAGTGGGTAGACCGCCCGTTGGAGATGAACCATTTTGGCAAATACGTTGGCTTGTTTAACCATTTCACCAAAGAGCAGCCGGGCCGCCCTGTGTTTAAATCTTCGTTTCCTCCTCTTCTTCCAAAATGAATAACGTCCCAGTGTCCTCCTTTTCCAGCCTTCAGAAGCTGCAGACAGGCATCCAAGTGGCCGAAGGCAATGAAGATCACCACCTTCAGATCCTCAAAGAAGCAGAGAACATCCTTCTGAGCAAAAAGCACGATTTAGAGAGACTAAAAGATCAGGTGGGTGGAATCCTTCCTGATCCCCATTTTCCAGAGATGGGAATATTCGGAGCTAACCCTTGGATGCAGCCGTATAGAAAAAGGCATGGAGCCTGCTGGGAAAGGCTGGCTTAATGACCCAAGGAGTTTACTATCCACAAATATCAGTGAAAAATTAGTGCAACTCTTGCTAGTATTTTAAGTTTAGAAAGAGCCACGCGGGCCTCATCGCTCTCTGACCAGCAGCTCAGCCAAAGGGCTGGTTGAGTTTTTGGAAAGTCATGAGTTAACAGGGCCCTCCTGAGCACCCACTGAAAGTGTTTAACCATCTCGCCACCCAGGACAGGTTAAAAAAAACACGATTTCTTGTTTTGGCAGACCGCCGTTCAGCAGCAGGAGTTACACCTGGTGGACAGATTGCTCGATCAAAAAAGGAAGGAGCTACGTCTCCTCCAAGACAGCATTGCTGAGAAAAATGCCAACTTTGCGGAAGCTCTCAGGAGCGGAGAGGCAGAGATCACGGAAAAACGGCAACTAATAAAGGTGTTTTGTTGTTGTTTTTTTTTAAATTTCCAGTTGCGTTACAGCTTTTTTTAGAGGCTTGCTTTTCAATTGCTCAAAAGTTTTATTCGGAAAGTCAGATGTTGTCCTTTGAGCGATTCCGTTCTTTTAATCTGCTCCCATTTTGAGAATGGTTTTAATTCAGTGCCCCCCATTCAGCAAGTAAGGGCAAAACTCCCCGTCAGGATGATTCGATCTGCATGGAGCTGCTTCTCTGTGGAGATTCTCGGTCATCCAGGCACACTTGCCCAGGCTGTGTGTGGGTTTTTTTTGAGGAGAAGGAAGAAGTTTTGCTTCTCATTCAAGGATCTTTATCAGTTGCCACAACGGATGAAGCTTCTTGGATGAGAAGTGAAACTCCTTCTTCCTCAAAAAACAGTCCAGTTGCCTTTTTAAAAGGGAAAAAAACCCACTTTTGAGGCAATGGAGCTGCCTGCTTCCACGTTTTGCAACAAGCCCTTCAATGCTTTCTTCATCCTTTTCCCAGGAAATGAAGGCTTTTCTCGAAGACCTGAGTGTTCAGAAGGGAGAACTCAACGCCCAGCTAAGCGAGAAACGATCCCAGCTTTCTCTCGTTTTGCAGAATATCCGGCAAGATGAAACAAAACTACAGGACATCCTGGAGCTGATCAAGAAGCATAAGACAGGTTTGGCTCACCCAAAAAAATACCAATAGCAGTAGCCGCATCTTAGCTTTCTATGTACCTGCCAGTATTTACCTGAGTGCCCTTTTCTGTCATTCCTTAGAACTGAAGGACATGCTGGGAACGGCACATCTGGGAAAAGAGGAGGTCGAAAACCTGAAATTCCAGCATAACCAAAAGACAAACGAGTTGGACAAAATGGAACGGTTGCTGCTAGAGGTAAAGGAAGCCCGCTCCGTAGTGACGGTTCAGTTCAGGAAGCTCTGCCTTGAGCCTCTCGCACATCACATCGGCTATTCCCACTCTTCGAAATAAGGAAAAAGCTGCAGCTCCGCTAAGGCAGGCAGGGCAAGCTACTGTGTCTAAACAGGGATCGATCCCCACACTCGCTGCAGCGCTGACGGTGTTACCTTGTTGGGTAATGACATGTCTGCAAGTGAACGGCCAAGCTAAGAGAGCACCAGTGCGTGGCTTTATGTTTCCCAGTTTATAATTTTTGATTCTATTTGGGTGATGTCCTTATTGTACTTTTGATTTTTAGTTACTTAGAATCATGGGAATGGGCAGCATACAAATGAAGTTAATAATAACAATAACAACAACAACAAACTCCTCCTTGCTGCCCTAATATGCCGCAATGAGGGTGCAGTGATCGTCGGGCGTCATCTCCCTTTTAACGACCCCATAATCCCTGGCAGGGGTGGATCCTGGGCAACTGAACGGAGCTAGCAGAGTGTTTACTGGCCAGATGACCTCCCTGTCCCCAGTGCGGAGTTTTGTTCAGCCGATGTCTTCCTCCTTGTGCCCAGGGAGAGAAATATCGGCCTCTTCCCAGGATCGAACTCACGGCCTGGGGATTGTGAGGCGAGAGCTCCGCCCTACACGAAGGAGGGTGCAGAGAGGGCGGAGTCCCAAGTTTGGGCAGCCGTCTTCAGGCAGGTCTTTCCCAACCCCAGGAGAAGCTGGAGCTGGAGACCCTCCGGGACGCCTCCCGGCGCCAGCGAGGGGAGACGGAGCAGCAGAGGCGGCTCCTCCAGGAGGCTCAGCAGGAGGCCGGGCGGCTGGCCTCCCAGCTCCACCTGCTGCAAAGCCACGTCGAGGCTCTGAGCCAGGAGAAGCGGCAGCTGGAAGCCGACTGCCAGAGCCTGGAGGAGAAGCTCAGCCAGACCAGAAGGTGTGTGTGGGGTGGGGGGGGCCCTGGGGGGGGGCGGGGGGGGTGCGTTTTCTTGGGCCTTGGCAGGTGGGAAGGTTGCTTGAGAGGAAGCGCCTTCTAAGGGAGTCCTCGGACTTTTCGTTTAGGGACTCTTCAAAGTTACAGCGGGGCCGGGAAAAGGTGACTTATGACCCTTTTCCACGCTTACGACCGTGGCCGCATGCTGAACTCTCCGCTGCCTGGCAGCTGACTCCTATTTATGACGGGGTTGCAGTGAACCTGGGGTCACATGATCCCCTTTTGCGTCCTGGCGAGCAAAGTCGATGGGGGAGCCAGATTCCCTTCACAGCCGCAGGGATTCCCTCAGCCACGGCACTAAGAAAGGTCGTGAAACGGGGACGAGGGTCACTTAACCGCTGCCTCACTAAGCGACAGAAATTTTGGGCTCCCTCCTGGGCCGTAAGACGAGCACCACCAGTACATTCTTATGTGAATATTTTAGCAGATTAACAGAGTTGGAATGGACCTTGTAGGTCATCTAGTCCACCCCCCGGGGACCCAAGCAGGAGATTTCATCCTATGAAAAACAGTTGCAGGAAGTCGCTCTGTCTGGTTTGATGACAAGAAGGACCTGGGCTGACATTGATAGCAGCCTTCCAATATCTCAGGGGTGCCCCAAGGAAGAGGAAGGGGCCAACCTCGTCTCCAAAGCACCACAGACTGAGGTCGTGTTCAGTTCTTAGCAGTCCACCAAGCTGCACCGGTCTCTGCTATAATTTTGCGAAGTCAATCCCAGAGGGGCTTTTTCGAAAGGCAACCGGGCTTTGTTTTTTCCCTGAAAACGTTTCGCTTTTCACCCAAGAAGCTTCTTCAGTTCTCCTCCTCCTTCAGAGCTGAAGAAGCTTCTCAGATGAGAAGAGAAACATCTTCAGAGAAAAAACCAAGTTCAGTTGCCTTTTGGAAAAGCCCCTCTGGGAAGGCATGGGTGTCGAGACTCTCCACAGACATCTGTGAGGTGAAAGTGTGGCTTTTCCCCCCTTTGGCAGAACCTTAGCCTCCACGGAAGATAACAACAAAACTCTTCTCGCCAGCAAGGAAAAATCCGTTTTGGATTTCCAAAAACTGCAGCTTGAAATCGATCAGCTTCACAACCAGAAAATAGTCCTGAACCAGGATATCGCCGAGCTACAGAAGCATTTGCACGGTAGGGGGATTTTTTTTTTTCCCCAAATCTCTTTTCATCCCGGTCGTTTTGCACATAGACAAGAGCCTTGTGCGGGATCCAGACTGCGATCTTTCTAATCAAATCTCCCGCCGCCTTTCTGGTTTTCTTGGCGATTGACCTCTTCCTCGAACTACTGCAACTATTTTCCCCTTTAGGAAAAAAGGAGGAGTTGGACGTTTTGAAGACAGAACTGAACAATTCCAGGCATTACCTTCAGCTGCTGGAGCAGGTGAGTTTCGTTTAGATTTACCGTCCCGTGTTAAGGGTGGGGAAATGTATTGCAGTCAGTGCCAGAGTTTTTTCCCCCAAGGATGCAGTCAGGCGAACGATATACATACCTCCGCCCAAATCAGACTGTAACCTGTTACGTGAAGGCATGGTTTTCTACAGGAAACTGAAAGGAGGAAAAGAAAGTCTATTTGCAATTTCCCTCCTGTGAGCTGCATCCAGATCTGTCTGTAGCAATGGCCTAGTTAGTAGGATTCCGAGATGCCAAAGAGGTTGATCTGCATCGATTCACGAGCATCTTAAATCTTTCTCTTGCAACTATTCGCTCTGGGACGGCAGGACGTGAAAGTGGCCGCCAAGGAGAAGGAGGATCTGATCCAAGAACAGAAGGCCCTAAAGGACAACCTCCGCGAATCTTCCAGGAAATGCAAGGAGACCCAGGAAGGCCTAAGGGAAAAGGAGAGCCAGCTACACCAACTCCGCAAGGAGCTTGAGGAACAGGCGCTGAAACAGGCCGAACAAGAGACGGTACATTTTCCCATCTTTTTCCCATTTTGTGTTGGATCTGACCTGATCTGGCTGAATTCTTTCTTTTTGAAAACGAACAAATTAGGAAAAAAAAACATGGAGAGGTTGATTTAAGAGGGGTGAAAGAAGCCATGAAAGGAGAAACCATAGTTGATCTCAGGTCAGTGATTCAGTAGCCTCTCCCTACAACAGCTACTCCCTGAGCCCAATTGTTTAGCACTTGCAGGAGTTTGTTTCCTATTTATTTAATCCATACCCCGCCTTTACTATTTTACAATCAACTCGAGGTGAAAAACACATTCCACGCTCTTTCCTCCCCCTATTTTCCCCACAACAACCTTGAGAGGTGGGTTGGGGAGAGAGAGAGAGAGAGAGAGAGAGAGAGAGAGAGAGAGACTGCCCCAAAGTCACCCAGTTGGCTTTCGCGACTACTAAATCAAGACTCGAACTCGGGGTTTCCTGCTTTCTAGCCTGGTGCCTTCATTATTAGACCAAACTAGACCAACCGTTTTCAGCCGAGACATTTTCAAAAGAAAACACGCCAGATTCCTATTATGCAAAACGCCTTGAGGCAAACCGGTCAGGGAACCGGGCCGCCCGCTGGTTCCAGTAGCCTCTCACCGCCAGCCAGCTGAACTCTCGACCGGCTGCTTCCCTCCAGGTCCTTCAGCATCTCAGGGAAGAGGTCCAGCGCGAAGAGGAAAGGTTGGCCGAGGGTGCAGACAGGCTGAAGCACCAGCGGCACCAGATGCAGCAGCTCGAGCGAGAGCTGGAAGAGAGGCAGGGCCAGCTGACCCAAGCTCTAGCCAAGGTCCAAGAGATGGAAGAACGGACCCGGAAGCTCCAGAAGGGGGAATCCCACCTTTCCGCTCTTGAAGAAAAGCTCCGCAAAGCCTGTGAGTCACATGGGGGGCTGGGAGGAACATGGGTGCCTTGGCAGGCGGGGCGCGTCTAAAGGGAGTAGGAAAGGCAGCCTGGCATTATAGCTGCTAAGGAGGAGGGAGAGCGAGATTCATGCCCCAAACTCTCTCGGCTACGAGGTGTATGCAGTTCAGTTGGGAGTTTTATCCACTTAAAAACAAAACAAAAAACATTCCCTTTGTAGCATCTTTTTAAATATTCCGAGCTCTCCGCAAAGAGACCAGCATTTAGATATCATGAATTCCACAGGATCCAATCTGAATTGGTCACCAGGACCAAAGGTTGATTCTTCCAAGCTCTTCAGGGCGCTTCTCTCTCCCAGAATATGCGCACTGGACTGTTTTTATGGCTGCTGGTTGTGTGTAGCTCTTATTTATTTAATTAGGATGTGGATGACTGGCTATTAAGTGGTTACTTGCTGTTTCCTTATGACACTGTGCCCTTGGGTCTTACCCTGGTAAATCAGTCCTGTTTACTGACAGGTTTCAGCCATTTCTCTGGCTGGTTTCGACCCTGCTCGGCCAACAATTGCAATAGCCCTTAGTCTTATATGCCGCTTCACAGCCCTCTCTAAGTGGTGTACAGAGTCAGCCTCTTTACCCACCTCAGAAGGACGGGAGGCTGAGTCAACCTGGAGCCTGGTGGGATTCGAACTGCCAAATTGCAGTCAGCTGGCAGGAGGAGCCTGCAGTATCGCCCTCTGACCACTGCGCCGCTGTGGCTCAACTCGTCACAACTTCTCTTAGCGACGTCCTTCAGCAGATGAAAAGCAGAGCTGGGCACCCGGCTGGGTAACCGAGCGCGGCTCCTCTGATTCCAGGGCATCAGCTCTCCGAAAAAGAACAGCGGCTTCAGGACAGAGCGGGCGAGGTTTCATCCCTGCAGAGGGAACTCAGCCTGTCCAGAGCCGAGGAGCGGCTGCTCCAGGACCAGCTCCAAGCAGCCCACCTGAAAGCGGAGAAGCAAATGGCCACCTTGAGGGAAACCATCAAGGCTCAAAGGGCCCAGCTGGAACGGGCCCTTCAAGTAGGTGCCCACCTCCCTCCGCTTCGTTTTCATGGGGGGGGGGGGGGGGGGGGGGACACACATGGCGAGAAACCGGAGGGTTTCCTGAACACGAAGAGCAGCTGGCTTGGCCCCAGTTCTACCAGACTCCCTCAATACTTGGAAGGGGTCTCTCTTATCCAAAGAAGAGAGTGTGTTTAATTTTGTCTCTAGTCTGAAATCGCTTCCAGATGTTGTGTTTGCAATGAGAAGGGGAAACAAATGAAACTTCAATCCTGCTTTTGCAAACGAGGCGGGCTTCCTGCTAGAGAAACGGCTCGTATCTGTTGCTGTGCAAAAGCAATAGATCCAGATGTTTTGGATCAGCTCAGGCCTGCCCCTTTTGGTATGGCCATCTGGGGCCGGTGTGTGCACGTGTGTCTGTGTGCACGTGTGTGTGTGTAGCTTTCAGTCCTTAAAGATCCCAACGGCGCATTCTCCCCACCCTTCCATGGAATGCGGTGGTTAATTCCAAGGCAGACGAAAAGAAAAACCAAACGCAGATTCTTCTCCAACCCGCTGTTGTAATTTTAGGAGCAGAAGCAAGAGAACTACAGTTTGCAGCAAGAAATAACCTCCTTGGAACAAGTGGCCCGAGAGAATCACCAACGAGCCAAGCGGCTGATGAGGGACCTTGTCCGCATCCAAGAGGAGCACGCCCAACTCAAGTCACAGGTGACACCCTGGAGCCCCCGGGGGGCCTCCCCAGAAAGACGGCTGCCCCCTCTTGGCCTGCCGGGCTTCTTCCCTGGCTCCGCGGCCTCTGAGTGAGGCAGAGGGAGGGGCTCCACGGAGTCTCCTGCTCACGCTGTGTTAGTTGCACTGATTGGGTAAACTCCCCCGCGGGGCTTCCGGGCCCCCCCCCCCCCCCCCCAGGATCTCAGAGGTTCAAGGGCCGCTCAGTGGCTCAGCACCCGTGTGGAATGGCCGTCGTTGCTTCTTCTTGTGTCTCAGGTGAAGAACCAGGAGGAGCTGGAGAAGCAGCAGAAAGAGTTGAAGGGCACCGCCAAGCTGGTCAGGCTGGAAGTGAAGGGCAAACTGAGGAACGGTTTGAAGGATCTGAGCCAGTCTCCTCCGGAGTTACTGGAGGGCAGAGAGGCTGACCTGGAAGGGAAGGGAAGGCTCTGGAACGACGTGGAAAGCCTGAAGGAAAACTACCCGTTCACCGAAAACAAGGCCGGGAGGCGGCTTTGGGAGGAAAAGCTGGACCTGTCTAAAGTCCACATCACGGTAAGGATGTTAAGAGGCGGAGCTGTACCATGGACACACACACAGGGACACTGTAGCTAGCGTGAACATCCGCTTGGAAGAAAGCACGTCCGCCTCTTCCGCGCAAGGAAGTCTAGGTTTTGCGCCTGACTGAGAAATCCATAGCACCCATCGCAGCTTGTTCCCACCTGCCGTTGGTCAACAGTATTTAAAATCCCCGTGGAGTCGCTACCGTCTGACAGGACACAATATCACTGCCGTCACTACACGCGTGGTAGTTAGCCCCTGGTTCTGCCCCCGCATCCCACCCTGAGGGAGGGGCCTCCTCTCCCCCCCCCCAAGGGGATTCTCCTCTTCACCAATTCTTTTCCCTCTCAAGGATGAACAGTGGCGTGGAAAGGTGCGCCGGGAACAACTGCAGCACCAGGAGGATCGTCTCAAGGTAGAGTGAGGGGCAGAGACCCCTGTCCCAAGCAGCCCACCTCTTCCCAGCTCACGTTTTGACTGGACCATTGTCCCTCCAGGCCCAGCTCCGGCAATGCATGTCGAAGCAAGCGGAGGCGTTAATCAAAGGGAAGCAGCAGACGGAGGGCACCCTGCACAGCCTGCGGAGACAGGTCGATGCCCTGGACGAGCTGGTGAGCTGCAGCAGCTCAACGGAGTCCTTGTTTCCCTCGTTAAACTCCTCGGGACTCACCGATGCCAAGAACCAGGTAGTTTTCCTCACTCGCCCTCGCCTCATAGCCACACACCCCGCTAAGCCTGGATCCGAAGGGAGCGCCCTTTCTCACGACGCGTCCCCGTGGCCTTTTTCTAAAACGTCCCTCTATTGTCTTCGATCAGGAAAACAGAGTTGATCCAACAGGGTTAAAAACAACAGCACTAATCCTTTTGAAAAGGCCCGAAGCCAGCGTTGGTTTACGCGCTGGGTATTTGCAAGGTGTGCCAACTTGAGAAGGATTGAAAGCCGCCTTTTTGGAATGGGTGGGAGGGTGTTAGACGCCGGGGGTCCCCAACCTCCGTTCCATGGATCGCCGCTGGGCCGTGGCATGCCAGAAACGGGTGTGCAGGCAATGCACGAAACCCGCCCCTGGTGCCCCAAAGGTTGGGGGCCGCTGGGTTACGCTGCGAGCGGTGAATCTATTCACTTTGGAAAATCCGTATGGATTAGCGTTGCTTTTGAAGGGAAAAGCGTGTCCGTGGAAGCATTCGAAATCAATGTAAAGAGTTTTCTACCTGAAAAGAGCACCAGCTTCCTTGCAACTTTTATAAAATGAAAAGATGTGCTGGTACGATTTTTAGTTTTTCATGTTAAGGTTTTGGTGGTTGTTTTTCCCCTAGTCCACCACAGCCCCTTCGCCCTGGACGACTGCAGACACTTCAGGCCAACCTCAAGTGATTTATCCGCTCTAAGACGTAGCTTCAACAAAGCAGGTGAGAGGCGCAGGGCCTATGAATAGTTTTAAACGTGGGTCGACCAGTTCCAAGACTTTGAAGTCACAGTTGACACACCTCCCTTCTTAGTTAGCACGGCCGAGGTTTTCTGCCCAAAGCCTGATTGCGTGTTCCGAGCAAAAATGCCGCTTCCTTAGAAGAAATAGTTTACAAATAAAAGGAAACCAGTTACATAGAGGGAAGCGGGGAACCTATAATTTCCTGCTTGGTACTTACATCACCTTTTCTTTTTTCTTTTTTGGTTATTATAGAAAAAATACTAGGCACAAACGGGGGTTGGTGAAGCCCCGTGCCAGTTGGATGTGAAAGTCACGAAGGCTACCTCATTTTATTTACAAGTTAACGGTCTCCGAGCCGCCTCACCCGTCCTCAGGTCTTCCACATGCTGAAAGCAACGTCGTCGCTTTGTGTTCCTCCGGAGTGGAGGGGAAATCCAGGAAGAGGTGTGTGTGTCTTTTGCTCTTTTACATTTCTTCTTTTTTTTTTAAAGCACAAACGGCTTTTTATGGGATAAAATATTTTGTGAATAAATTTTTTTTTTTGTACAAAATAGTTCGACTTTTTGGGTGTCCATGTTCCATGGCCGTTAGGATCACACCAATATTTAATGTCTGGAAAATCTCTTTGCCCTCCTTTATTCAGACAGCAAAAAATAAAAATATTTAAAATGTAGGATATTAGGGTGTATGATAGCTGCCTAGGAGCACAAACAGCTGATCCACGTCAGCGTATCCAGCCTGTAGCGAGTTTATCTGGGAAGTTTTTAAAAGGCCAACCAATAGCTCACATCATTTAATATTTAAGAAAGAAATAACACCTTTAACCTCCATCATATTGTCTTTCTTAAAAATTAAGTGAGCTAGCAAAGGAAATCGGAGCCGATTCTGAATGTAACGAATACTCCTGTAGACTTCCTCTGTCTTTATGACCCGTCACAGAAGAATTCAAAGTCTGTGGCCATGGTCGTCCCAAAGGTGTTTTTCCAAAAGGCAACTGGATTTCCTTTGTTTTTCCTTGAAGAGGTTTCGCTCCTCATCCAAGGAGCTTCCTCAGGTCTGAAGTCTCTGAAGAAGCTTCCTGGATGAGGAGTGAAACATCTTTAAGGAAAAAACCAAAGTCCATCTGCCTCTTGAATGGGACCACTGAAGTCCAACCTTAGTTTAAAGGTTTTGCAGGTCCGCCCCTCTCCCCCTTTAAAAAAAGGCCTTCGTCTCAGGCACCCCACAATTTATAACACTTTTGCCCTGCCTCCCCAAAGAACGACAAACTCTCATTTTTGTCTAGATACAGGTACTTTATTTACAAATATTTAGATAATAGCATTGTTACATTAAATGAGTATACAGCAGCCCAAATAAATCCTGTCACAGAAAATGAAGACCTACTGTAACTTGAATGGGGGGTGGGGAGTAAAAAAAGGATATTGCACCGCTAACAAGCTGCAGGAAGCAAATTGCCTTTGCCCAAAACTTTTTAAGTTGTGTCAACAGGTCATGGTCCCTGGGCAACCCTTGCCCCCACACCCACCCCCACCCCGGTGCAATTCCAAGAGCAAAGTCCTGTAACACCCACCTACTTTTAAAGAATCTTTTGCGATTTCGGGAGGGGGGGGGGAGAAGCTAGAGCCAACGGCAAGGGCACGTAAGCGAGGAACAGCACACAAGCTACCCAAATGCGAATCGTTTGCACATCCCAGTTTTGGCATTTTAAAGGTTCCCACGTCGACTGTACATTAAATGCCGGTTATCCCCTTTCGCTTTTGCACACTTGGGACACGGCCTGGTTTTAGTGTCATCGAGGGTGTGTTGTGGTGTGTGTGTGTGTGTGTGTCTAGGCATGGTCACTTGAGACACTGCAGGTCACAGAATCAAAGGTGCTCATCCTTTTTCCCAGCCAGGCTTAGCCACGTCTTAAACCGGATTGCCATCGAGAGAAAAACTGAGGGCGGAGAGGATGTTTTTTTGGGGGGTGGAGGGTGTTTGACTCCACCCTACTCAGTAGGGGCCCAGTGCCGCAGCAGAGTCCCAACCCTCTCAACCGTTCCGTTTCGAACAGACCCTTCCCAGAAGCGTCCAGGTGTGCGACACAGCCCCGCCTTCTCACACAAGGTGGGCAACAAGGTGGCTGGAATAAATGCAGAGCTATTTGGGGGAGGGGAAAAGCGAGTTAGCACGTCCTCAAGTACACCAGACCCTGGAGTAACAACATCATCAACAAAAGAAGCGGAGTGGGTTGCTCACAGGGCAGAGAGAGGGGTGTGCCACGCTGGGCTAGCAATACTCTTGGTCTTAAACCGGGGTGGACAATGACCTGCAGTCCCCTAGTGGAGCTGCTGTGCAGATGCTTCACGTCTTAAGTTCCTAATGCCGGCCATTGAGGGTTTGTTTCTTCGTTAAAATCATACACACAGGATGCGTTTGAGTGTCTGGCTTGGTTCAGTCAAAATTTATACAGATTCACGCTTGGCTATAAGGGCCCGTCTAGGTAAAAATAGGGAGGAGCAGCCGCCGCCTCCGCCTCCGGAGAGGGGGTACGAGATAAAAGCCGCCCCGTGTCCTAGGCAGAGACGGAGGGGGACCCAGCAATGTGTCTTTCTCCTCCCTCCTCTCCCCCCAAAATCCCCATCCAACACCCCCACCGGTTTCCCAACGAAAGCAACCTACGCAGGATCCCATTCTACCCTTGGAAACGGTTTCATAGCAAATCTTTTTTATCCTTTTTTTTTCCCTTTTTTTTTGTTACTAAAAAGGACAGACCAGTTACAGATCGGGAGAGAAAAGCAGAAGCTAACAAAGTTAAACTTTACGAGAAACAGAGAGAGAGAGAGAGAAAAAGAGGTGGGGGGGAGAGAGAGAGAGAGAGAAAATCATGAGGTCCAGCATTCAGAGCTCTGTTTTGTAAATCATGAATCGGTGACATCTATTCACAAGGACAATCGATTATGGGGAGGGGAGAGGAGGGGGGGGGAATAAAGACGCCTAGATTTACCATGCAGGGATGGGGGATGACTCTACTTGCCTTTGATAACCTGATTACATCTAAGTTTTTTTCTCTTTATTTTACTCTTTAGCAGTTTAGTACTGTGTTAAACTCTTGCGCCTCGGGAGTTTTAATTAAACCTGGTAAGATGTGCAGAGGAAAACGGAAGCAGCCCCCCCAAAAAAGCACTGCTCTTGACAGAGGTGAAAGGTCACAAACAGAGCCAGGGAACCGAGGTCACTAGCAGCCACAGCCTTCTCTTTGGGGCTGGGGTTCGCTGGTTAGCCGGCCGCCCTGTGGAGCTGAAGGCTTGTGCTGTACCCCTGACTCGGCCGCGTTCAGATCCAGGCTCCCGTCTTGGATATTCTGGTAGATTTTCTTGGCGGCTTCTAGGAACGCGTCTTCCACGTTCTCGCCTCTGCGGGGGGAAAGGACAAGCCAAAAGCAGCGGCGTTCATTTGGGAGGTTTTATTATGACCGAAGCATCTCTCTTTATATCTCGGGGGTTGAATGGAGGGGTCCCTGGTGCTCCACCAAGCCTGCTCCCTGGCAGATGTCCCATTGGCCCTGCCGATGTGCATGACCAACATGGACAAGGTTCCCTAGGTGGGTCATGAAACATCTGCAAGAAAACCACTCCTCAGCTTCTTGGGGTGAGCAAACTTCTACCGGCAATTCATCCCCTCCTTCGCGAGGATCGCCCAACCCAGGACGGACCTCCTAAAGTCAGGGAGACCAGGAAGGAACACGCCCCCCCCCCCACCCCGGGGGACAACCCCTACAGTGGGATCTAACCTGCCAAAAGGCATTTGAAACCAACGGCAAAAGAACCAGCGCCGAAGCATCCCGATCCCAAACGTGGCAGTGGGACCAGTGTTACTCCAAAGAAATAACCCAGAGAAGCCTGCAGCCCTGCGCCTGCACCTCCCACTAGCTCCCAGACACAGCGAGGCGATGGGCTGCCGGGGAAAAAGGCTTTCGTGGTGAGATGGGCATTGCGAACCTGCCGCCACCTCCGGGAAGGGGGGCAGAGACCGTTCAGGAGACGTAGGAACGCTTTACGAGCTGGCAACCTGCTCAGAGCGCATCAAGGAGTCCCGCCAAGCACACCCCTCCTGCTGGCACGCCGCACTTCCCATGTTTTAAAGGGATAACCAGCAGCATTACAGGTGCAGTTTTAAGCACCGGCATTGGCATAAATCGAGGTGACTCTTGTGTTGCCAACAGACGTTCCCACCACCAGTCAGTCCCTCTGGTTTTGGCAGAGGAAAAGTTCATGGGGAAAGAATCTCAGTTCATAAAACGCCCGTTTCCTTCGGGTTGAATTCCCCTATGAAACGGAACGTTTTAACGGTTGCAACTGCCTACTTACGTTTTTGCACTCGCTTCAAGAAACAGCAAGCCTGTTTGGGGAACAAAACGCAAGTTTAACTTCGGTCGGAAATCAAAACATTCCTCTTTCGGATCTCGCCAACCAACAAGGCCCTGGATACAATTTGACTAGCCAGGTCCATGCACACACCACACCACTACCCAAAGTGCCTAAACTGGCACTGCTTTAAACGGTTTCTGTGCCATCTTTCTGCCGAGCGCTACCTACCCTCCTCCGTTCTGCTTAGGCCAAGCAGTGGTTGGAATGCAGCACTGCAGGCTAATTCTGCATTCCCACAGCCAGCAGTTTGATCCTGACCGGCTCAAAGTTGACTCAGCCTTCCGTCCTTCCGAGGTGGGTAAAAAGAGGACCCAGATTGTTGGGGGCCAGAGGCTGACTCTGTCAATCGCTTAGAGGGGGCTGTAGAGCACGGTGAAGCACCACAGAAGTCTAAGGGCTATGGCTATTACTCCGGAGGAGCTGTACGTACCATTCTCTTCAGCAAATTGTTTGGCTTCCTCATATGTCACATCTCTCTGGGCTTCCAGATCTGCTTTGTTTCCTATAAGGATGATCACCTGCATCCAGAACAAAGAGACATTTAACAGAAATCTAGCAGTGGACAAAAGGACTCGCTCAAGGGTAGTATTTTTTGCCCCAAAGGATCCTATTGGATCCTTTTACAGAGCATGCCTCATCACGGCTAAGAAACACCCTTCCTCTCCCCAAGAGGCTAAACATTTGGGGGGGCGGGGGGGGGGTTTGTTGGAATCAGGCAAGGCCAGAAATCCAAATGCTTTTAATTAACGGACAATTTGGTGTCTCATTATGCTAAGGAAGCCGTTTTAAGGAACTGCTCGTTATGAAACTTAACACAGACGTGCTAGAAGGGGAAGTGAGAAACCCAGTGAGCTAGAGTGACTGCTGTAGTTAACCACATCGTCTAACCAAGGCTGTACAAAAGGGAAGGAATCCCCATCCCTTGGAACAGGGAGCTGAGGGGGAAAAATATCATTTTCAGAGCTGTAATGGGTTGTGTTCAGCTGAGAGGCAGAGGCAGATAGATTCCATTCTCGGGGAATGGAGGCTAAAACACATGAAGGATGCAGGAATTGGATATTTGTCTAGTTTAATGAAAAGAAGGACTACGAGAGGCAGGATAGCCGCCTCCCAATATCCGAGGGACTGTCCCCAAGAAGAGTTGGGAGTCAACTTATTCTCCAAAGCACCTGAGGGCGGGACAGGAAACAACGGGTGGAAACGAGTCAAGGAGAGATCCAACCTAGGACTAAGGAGAAATTTCCTGACATCTCAACCTGGAGATGAGCAGACCCTAACACAAATGTTTCTAAATTGTGGCACTCACAGTATTTGGGTTAGTTAGATTCCTTGCGTCCGTCAGCCAGCTGCTTAAATGGTTATACGTACTTCTTCTGCGAGACAACAAGGAAGCAAACATTTCATCATGTTAATACAACGCCAGCTCGTTTTTCTGTCTCTAAACACAATCCCAGCAAGAGAAAGGCCAACTTCAAGATTCTGTTTTGGGGTTCTTCCCTCCCCTTTTTCTACCCCTTTTCCTATCAAAACGAGGTGCCTGGAAGAAGGAGCCTTTCAAACATCAATTGGAGGAAGTTGGTAAATTATTATCTGGCTAAAAGGGAGGTTTGATACAATAGGTCCAACTCCTGCTTTGTTCCAGAGGGTAGTGTCAGCTAAAAGAGCACCAGCTAAACCATGGTTGGTTAAGAGACAGGTGGCCCTGGGTTCAAACCACAGCAAAAGGGCATCTCTTATCACCTTACCTAGTGATGTCATAAACCATAAGGGCTCCTGCGGCGCCTCTGTAGTAGCTCCGTGTGACAGCTCTGAATCTCTCTTGTCCCGCCGTATCCCAGATCTGCAGCTTAATTTTCTGGCCGCTAACTTCAATTATCCTGGTACCGAACTCGACTCCAATTGTATGGGGACAATCTGCCATAACTGTGAGGCAAAATGAAATAACAACAAGAAAGCACTTACTACCTAACGCAAGCAAGGCTTCCGTTCACAGGGATTCCCACAAACCGAGGAGGAGGAGATCGTTGTATCTGAAGGCTGCTTAACCCACCTTCTCAGACAAACAGCAGCCCCAAAATCAGCAGTTAAGTGTGTGTGGTTTTTTTTCCCCATTACAAGAAACTATTAATTTCCAACTTGTTCTACTGCATGTTTCTTATAGGAGTGAGAAACAGACAAGGATTCTGGCAAGACCTCCCCAGCTTTAGTCATCAGTAGTTGTATACATCTTTGGTTGTTAAGTCTACCTTTGAACAAAAGTTCACGACCTTAAACCAACAACGATCGTGTATTATATAACGGGAGGCATTTTGCTTCAGTGAAATCCAGGACCATTCTGTAAGGCAGGTTTAATAACGTAACAGAAGCCTAAAATTAACACGTTGGGAAAGCGGAGAGAATAAAGACACACTGTAGTTTACTACTTTGATTGGAAAGGATATGCACACTTACACTTCTTTTCTGTAAACTGATGGAGTAAGCACGATTTTCCTACACCCATATCGCCTTAAAATGAAAAAAAAAAAAAGAGAAAAGAGAAGAATATTTAGAAACGAATGGTTATCACTGCTGCTTTGACTTAGTGTCTACTGCAGAAGTTATCTGTGGAACATATGAAGCCAAAGAAAAATCAGTGTATAATGCAACTGAGAACTGCTTTGGAATTTTTTTCTGGTAATTGCTATTACAGAATTTGTAACTGGAAGTGACTAGAAAAAAGTTCCTGCTTCTTAAATTTCTTCGAAAGAGTACGGATGAGTAACACGAATACTCTCTAGCTGTATTTTCCACTTTGGATCGTAACTTGTGTTTTATACAACATGCTAGGCGTTAGACATGGTTTTAAAAAACATGCAAAAACCAGACACAAAACAAGGATCAAATGTTGGCACCAGCAGCAGAGTAGCCACTGAAGGAAGTGTCTAAAGGCTAAATCATTCTACCTCACTTCCTCGCTTGGAAAACCAAAACTCATCCAGACTGAAAAAAGCTATCTGCAGGCTGAGAGATTTATTCGTGAAATAATGCAGCAGTGTAAGCGTTAAAAATAAAAATAAAGTCCTGTTTTGGGATGAATGGGGCCAGGTCCCCAAAACCACCAAATGAAAAGCGTCACAACCAGCGCACGGGTGACTTGTGACTTTGTATGCCACCTTTCCCCCCGAGCCTTGCCCGCCAGATCCCGAAACAAGATCCCTTTTTGGATTGTACTCGTGGTGGGTAGGTGGGGCCCTTCCAGCAGCGTCTTCTTCCCCCAACCTCTATCATCCCAAGCCAGCTGCAGTCAAAAGGCACCCGGAAGAGGGCTGTGTAGCAGAAATGAGGAGGCGTTTCCAAAGGAGGCTTATAGACTTACCGATAATGATGTATTTAAAAATGTAGGAATAGTTGTAAGGTGCAGTTGCCATTGTGGCACTAGAAAAGAAAAAAGAGAAACCGCTTAACAGGAGCATCCTAGGATCTGGCGCTATCCAATTTCCTGTTCTGTTCACAATTCATAGTTGGTCCTTAAGGTAAAAGAGCCACACAACCCCAAAGTCAACAGACTCCTTGCATACTTACTGAGATACATAGTCCTCGACTTACAACAGTCCATTGAGTGACTGTTCAAAGTTAAGACGACACAATCTTCCCAATTTGCCCTCCAATCACAAAGATCAGCAGCCCATTCAATTCCCTTAAGAACCCTCCTTTAGCAGCAGATCCAAAAATATCATGGAAGGTTTTTTTTCCCCACAGTGGACACACCTAGATGCTTCAGAGATTCCATGCACCCTTTCTCAATTTCCTGGGAGGATAGTGTGAGAATTTATTGAGCAATCAAAATGCTAAGATTGCCTGCTCCCCATTATTTTAAGCCTCTTATCTCTTTTTCCTGTGAGAAATTATCTAACTGCGCCTTTAATTAAAAAAAATGTAGCAAAAAAAGATCCTCAAGCATTCACCAGGCTGTTTGCCTATGTCTAAGTCTTAAATAAAGTTTCCTCATTGGTTTAGGGACGAAGGGAGAAGCCTCATATGTAAACTACGTTAGCCAGTGTGGGTTTTTTTAATGAGCAAATTAAAATAATGAAGCAGAACTACATTACACAGATATCAAAGGAAAGGTTACTATATTAACCGAATTCACTGAAAACAAGGAATAGGAGACCGCAAGTGAATGGACATTCATTGGAAATGAATTTATTTATTCAACGTCTACAGCCAATTCAAGCAGGCAGATGAAATGTTGCTTGGGACAGGGCAGGCAGCAAAAATCCCAGTGTTAGTAAAACCAGTGGCAAGTCGGTTAATTTTAAAGGGGGCAAGGCTACATTTCTTGGTTGTCCCAAACAAAACCGAAAAAGCTTAAATCGCTTAAGGAGAAATCTATACCCTTGTAGGTTTGAAAGGAAAATACAAGGCTGGCATCAGGAATGGCAATGGAGAAAGAATCTCTCTTGGAGGAGAAGCCAGAATGCAGGACTGCTGGATCCTTTCCCACTAGGAAAAAGTAAATTCCGAGCTCCGTCTGAGGGTTTAGGTCATTCCCCTCTTCAGAAGATGTGATTTCCCAAGCGTAAGCTCCTTCTAGTAGGCACGTGACCGTCATCTGATTGGAATTCATCCGTTCTACACAGAAGAGCTTCACACACAGCCTGGCGTGGCCTTTGCACTTCCACCAGAGAGCCCGCCGTATGAATGGAAGACACTATTTCAAGCCCTGCACATGCTGGCGAGATCTTAAGGCGCCGCTTTGATCGTTCTCTGACCAAATAGCTAACAATGCAGAGGCTTCTAGATCGAACCGGTGTTTCCAAAAGCGCCAAAGAACTGCCTTCAAGTGTGTGTGTGTGTGTCCTCTTGCACACGCCCTGGCGCAGAGCCCAAACATACGCCTGTTTGCAATGGCAAGTTTGAGAACTCAAGAGGAAAAGAAAAGAAAAGAAAACCTCTCAAACAGCGAATGAAGTCCTGCTAGGCAGGGAGCCCTCGGCTTAGGACCACAACGGAGCCCAGCGTTTCTGGGAAACGTTGGTTCCGTGACTTTTGCCCCATTCTAGGACCTTTCTTGCTGCAGTTGTTAAGTGAGCAAGATGTGAAGTCAGTCTGGCTTCCCCCTTGCTTTGCTTGCCCAGGTGGTCGCTAAAGAGGATAAACATTGCAACCGTCGTAAGGATGAGTCAGTTGACCAAGCACCTAAATTTCAATCACATGACCATGGGGGATGCCACAATGGTTGTGTGGGAAACGGTCGTAAGCCCCTTTTCCCAGTGCCGTTGCAACTTTGAACGGCCACTAAATGAACAGGTGTAAGCCGAGGACCCCTTGTGCCTAACTCCTCTTTCAAGGGTGTGCAGCTCGAACCCGTGCTCCCAACTCTGCAGCGCCCTTCAGGGAAACCCAGGGTGAACTCTTCTCCTTGTTAAAAGCTGTGAGGTTGCGCGGCTTTTATTTTTCCTTCTGGCAATTGTGCCACTGCCCTTTGGGAAAGTCTGCCCGACAATGCCCAACCGGTATGTGTGCAAAGTTCAGAGATTGCCATGGGAAACTGTAAAGGGCCTTAAAATGTCGTTTACCAAGCCACTCCCTTGTCTGGCACTAGCCTGAAAAGACAGCACACATCCAGGAATAACGGACAAAGCTTCTTAGATATGACAAAACCGTGGCAAGTCTCCAAAGTGAAATCATTGACAACTGGAGGGAAATCCTCCCACGTTTACAACTACAGAGGTTATTCTAGTCATTCCTTTTTTGTGTCCAGGGACCGCAAATGCAATGCTAAGAGTGCAAGCCTTGATCTCAGGTCAACGGTTCCTATTTTGTGCCTTCTAAACGTCTGAGAACATTAACTGCCCCTCAGACCAGGTAAATATAGCCAAAATTGGCATGACGAGTTTGCAGGTCTGGGGCTGGTGTTAAAGAAGGCACCGGCCAGGCAAAATCTGAATTTAACAAGGTTCACACCTTCGCAGGTGTGAATCGCCCCAAGCAAACAAAGTGAGCCAAACAGACCCAGCAACCAAAAGCTAAAATTTTAGCAAAGGGTACCACCCCTAAATATGAAAGACAGGCCCGATAATCCCCCTTAACTTATGATAGTAATTTGCCAGGAATCTTGCATAAAATATTATTGGCCTGAGTGGAAAAATCTGCAAAACAAGTTCATCAGGATCCAGGATTCTTAACTGGTTTTTCCTTGTGAGAAAGAGCCTCTGCTTTGTCAATTTGAAAAACAAACAAGGAAAGTTAGTTTGTTACATTCGTGCCACACTGTTACAAGGGAGCGTAACTGTTCAGTGCACATATGCTGATTTAAAGATAAGAGGTGTGCACAGCTCACCTTAGCTACTCAGTGCCAATTGCACAACATCTCTCACTGAAGATCTATTATGGGTAAAGCATTTAACAATGCAAATTTTTAAAAAATCAGTGCAATAAATAGATCTTACCACTTTCACTTCAGATTCCAGGCAAAATTTCTTGTTTCAAGCATTCCTACGCTTAGCCTACTTAAAGACGGACTTATCCAAAGTCCTCAATCCGCCCCCCCCCTTTTTAACTGCTCATTTGCCCTGTTCTAATATGCGCAACACAAGTGGCATTCACTGCACATTGTTGTGTACTCGTGTTGTATGTTAGTTTACAACTAAAGGCAGCATCACAGACACAGGTTTCTACCTTTCTCCACAGAAAGAAGAAAGAGGCGTCCTTGATCCCTTCAGGACTTGGGACTGCAGGACAAACAAGGTAAAGAATTTAAATGAGGGTCAAAAACATTGCTTAGACAAGCTGTGGGCAAAGAGGGGCCCCCTCTCCAAAAGCAGCTGCACCCCAACCCTCCGAAGGCACCCTGGGAATAAAATGCTGTTTGTTCCTTTACTCCTTGGGTTTTGATCCTGCCTTTATCACTGTATTAAGTGATCAACACGATGAACATAGCTAATATTGCTCCCCTCTTATGTTTATTGAATTTATACGCCACTCACCTCAACAACAACATCCCTGCAAGGTGGGCTGGGCTGAAAGCGGGACCGTCCCAAAGTCAGCCAGCCTGCTCAGCGGTGAGACAGGCGCCACCCCAGTTGGATACACCAGCAAGTAAAAGGCCAGGGAGTTCCAAGGAAGGTGGTCCAGGGCGCTTCCTAAAGTTTTCACCCAGGGCCGCTCCCACCTTGGCGACCTTTTAAGGTTGGTGGGCTTCAACAGCCGGAATAATTTCCCAGGCCAGCAGGGGAAGGGAACTCTGGGAGTTGAAGTCCCCGAGTCTTAAAACGTTGCCAAGGTTGGACATTCCTGTTTTAACCCATCCAGGCAGGGAGGGAGGGAGGGAGGGAGGGAGGTTCGGGCTGTCAAAGGACCGGGCTGGAGGGCGGACGGACGGAAGAGAAAGAGGGACACAAAGAGAAGGGGAAGGAAGAGAGGGAGGGAGGGAAGCCAGAAACGCTCCTCCAACCTCCCCCCCCCCCGCTTCACCCCAGGCCCAACGATCGCAGCTCCTCGAGGCCCGGCTGCCCCCCCGCAGCAGGGTCCCTCCAGGCCCGGGCGTCCGGGGCAGAGAGCCAGGGCCGGGACGGACGGGGTGCGGGGTGCCCCCTCCCAGGCAGTGCGTGGCTGGGGACGATGGGCGCCATCCAGCCCCCCCCCTCTCCCTCCTCCTCCTCCTCTTTTCCCCGCCGAGGGGACGGGGGAGGCGGTGTCCTCTCCCGTTGCTAGGCAACCTCCGGGGAGGCCCCGGGGCCGGAAGGCCTGGCTTTAGGCCGTCCGGATTTACCTGGGCTCGAGGGGCTGGTGACTGGGCAGCTTGGCTGGGGAGGCAGCGGCGGCCACAGCAGCGGGAGCCGCGGAAGGCGCAGGGAGCGGCGGGCGGTGGGCGGCGGCGGGGTCTCCTCCTCCTCCTCCTCTTCCTTCTCCTTCTTCTTCCCTCTTTCGTCGCCGCCGCCCCTCCTCTTCCCTCACAGGCACCCGCGATCCAAGATGGCGGCGGGCCTTTCCGCTGGGGTGTCCCCGCCCACTTCGCGCGGGGCGGGGCCGGCGGGCCCAGTCGCTTTCTCTGTCGAATTATAGCCCCCCGCGAAAGAAAAGAGGAGGGCGGGCGACGAGAAACAAAAGTCGGCGCAAGGGGGGGGGGGGGGGGGGGCGGCAGTGGAAAGGGCCAATCGGGACGGACGAGGAGGCGGGGCCCGGAATAGGTTTCGCGGTTTGGGGATTTTTTTTCCTTCGGGGAAAGCGCGAAGGCGGGGCAGAAAGGGTGGCCTCAGAGCGCCTGCGTTAAGAAGACCCGGTTCTTGTTTGGTCGGCTTAAAATTAAGAGCATGCGCAGACCGGGGGACGCACGCACAGACAGGAGAGGAGGGAGGGACGCATGCGCAAATTGGAGGGAGCAAAGGGGAGGAGCCATTAGCCACAAATGGGCGGGGCCTAACACAGGATGGTTTTTAAGAAAAAGTCCTAGACTTTGGCCAATGAACTCCGTCCGCCGTCGTTCTGGCTCCGCCCATTCTCTTAGCCCCTCCCCTTCGGCTTGTATTCAACAGGGAAGTCCCCTCCTGCCGACCAGTTGGATTTCGGCCTGCAATCTTCACTGCTTGCAAGTCCAGATTTTTTAGGGGGGGAGAGGAGAGGCTGTCCCAGGGATACTGCACGGGTTAATAGCCAGTTCCATGCACCGTGCATAACCCAAACACGTGTGAATCACTCACTAGGCGAGGAGGGTCGTGTGAATCCGACGGGGGGGGGGGGGTTCTGGTTCGTGAAATGCTTGCAAATAAGCTTTTTAGAAACGGAAAAAAAGTAATGCGGTGCACCACTTTTCTTTCGCTACGAGATGGCAGCATTGCTCCATGGTTGGGAAAAGCAGGCAAAAAAAAACCCTTTAAAAGAAGAATAAAATAAATGAAAGTTTTAACTGATTAGGCCCAGCCTGGGCATTTAAAAGAACCAAGCATGCGCAGATAGAAGCCAAAGGGGGGGAGCCAGCCTCCCAAATGGGCGGGGTATAACAGGAAAAAAAAAGATTTTATTTTTTTTAAATCGAGAAGCTGCATCCGCACTCCTTCTGGCTCCGCCCACTCACCTAGCCCCTCCCTTTCAGCTTGCATTCAACTTTGGTGGTTGAATTTTTGCCTACAAGTTTTCTAGACAGCTCAAATAAACACAAGTAAGTCCAGTTACCTCTTGCATAAGCACCTCCATAGACATTTAGTCCACTCCTTAGATAATGGGGTTTTTTTTGGGGGGGGGGGATATTAAAATCATTTTATTATTCATAAGGTTAACACAAACAGTGTTCGTTGATGCATTGATCCAACCAAGGACATGATCAGGATTAGAACTCGGAGCCACACAAAGCCAGAGCCTCTTGGGAGAAGAAATAATAAAATGTCGATTAATAAAAGAATAATAAAATTCCTTCCGCCTGGGATGGAAGCCAGTTTAATGCACCGTGCAAAACCCAAACAGGTTTCCGCTGCCTAGCAAGACCGTCCATAAGTGACTTTGGCCATTCTTGCCTTAGTCGTTAAGTGAATCGTTAAGGGCTGCTGAGTTCCTAACACGGTTGTTCAATGAATCTGGCTTCCCCCGTCTCTGTGCTTGTGACCCAGAGGACCACTGCGGCCGTCATAAACATGGGGCTCAGGAAACAGCCTGCACCTAAACCCCAGCAAGACGAGGGAGGGACCTGCCCCATCTGCATCCGGGGGGGCTGTGTGGAGGGGTTCCCCTCTTTCCAATTCCTGGGGGTCCACCTTAGCCAAGGCCTCACCTGGAGAAATAACACCATCCAGGTGGCCAGGAAGGCTCAACAGGGACTCCGTTTCCGTAGGAAACATCAGGTGGAACCACAACGGATGACTTCCTTTTCCCGGTCTGCAAGAGAAAGCGTCCTTCCATATTGTGTCACGGTGTTGGATGCTGGCTTGAGAGCCGCGGACAAAAAGGCGTCACGGAGGGTGACGAGCACAGCGCCCAAAATGATGGGCTGTCCCCTGACACCACTGGACGAAACCGCCAGAACCCGTTGCTGCCTCAGCCGAGTGCGGAAAATCCTCCAGGACGATTCACACCCCGGTCAGCCCCTCTTTCCTCTCCTTCCATCGGGCAGGAGACAGAGAAGCAGAGCCAGCCGAACGAAGAGGCTGAAAAACAGCTTTTGTCTTTGGTCCGACAGACTTCTGAAGGCAACATAAACACCACAATTAGGTTTAACGTGATAGACGGGCAGGGCCAGCACCAAGGAGGCTCATTTCAATTTCATTGTACGCAAGTTGTGCAGCGACAATAAACATTTGATTGGTTGATTTTGATGGATTGATTGAATCAGTTGCCAATCATCCGAATTTTGAGCTCACGATTGCGCGGATGCTGCAACTGGCTGTATGAGTGAAAAACAGCCAAAAATCGCTTTTAAATCGAGGATTACTTATAAGGACGAAGACATTCCAAGTTGATCTGAATAGCTGACCTCTCAAACAATTCCAAAACGTGTACTTTTTGGGAGGGGCAAATATAACAGCCACAGGCAGTTTCTATTGCTCTTTTAGAGTCTGCAGAGTCAAAACTCACGCAATTTTCCATTATCGAACAAAGGCTGGTGTTGTCTCAGCAACTGTCCAACAAATAAAGCCATTGTTGTTCCCCAAAGTTCCTGCTTAGTGGAGCCGTGCGCGCACAAAGGCTTTTAGGCAGGGAACCATGCTGTACTGAGTCATCTGCACATTTGCCTGTGGCTGCCGGTGTGCAAATCAGACGGGTGTTTCGTCTGTCGAATGAAACTAACAGGGCAAGATTCCCCGGCATTAGGGAAACGAAGCAGAAACTGGGTACATCTAGTTTAATGGGATTCGTACGGGTTGGATTCCGTCGAAGTAACTGAGAGGAGCCGGGATCTGCAACCAAGTTTACTCAGCAATACAAGCAGCAATACAAGCATCGACTTGACTCTCCCTCTACTAGCCCTCTTTTATAGTTAAACCTAATCATTACTCAATCTTCTTAACTGCGTTCCCTACGCTTGGACCACGGGTGTGTGTGTGTGTGTGCTTCACACCTGCCTCTGCACAGACACAACAAACGTCTACTTTTAGTTTTAATGAACGTCTAGTTTAAATACGTCTAGTTTAAAGGGACGCGGTGGCTCAGGGGCTAAGACACTGAGCTTGTTGATCGTGGAGTGAGCCGGTTTAATAGGCCCCATCACTTTCCCAGCACCCAGCTGGCATCAAGTCTTGGTCACCCCACAGATAGAGATCCTGCAGGGTGATCCATCCCCGAATTAAAATTTCCAGCAACCGCAGCCAGAAATGGCCTTATATAAAACAGCAGGGGAGGCAGATCTAATGAAGAGAGAGCCATGAAGAGTGATCCGCGTTGGAGAAGCCCTTTATACGGGCACAAAGTGTTCTTCCTTCCTTTGGTGCGACTATCTGCCTGCCTTTCCTGCCGTTCGTAGGCTTGTAATGTGGCTCCTCAGAAAAATTCCTTTTGAAGTTGGATCCTCTTTCTTTCTTTCCTTCCTTCCTTCCTCCGTGGAGAAATGACTCACTCTTTCCAACTGCCTCCCAGTTCTTCCTCAGACATTTTGAAGTTAACCATAAAAAGAGAAGCTTTTTTAAAAAACAAAAATAAACGTAAAAATGAGACGTATTACGGAGTTCCATCTGCCACTAATAAACATCGGAACAACGTGGCAAAGGCCAAAACAAAATCAATTTTGGGGATATCAGCCCGGGCCAGATGAACACGCCAGTGAAGTGATCAAGCCAAAATTAAAAGTATCATTTTAATTTGACTGATCTAGGGGATCCTCGGGTTACCTGTGATGTTCTATCAGAAGATGGACAGAGAGATGCTTCCATCGGGATTCTTGGCCAGAACGGGGTCTCCTCCTGCCATCTCTGCAAGCTGTGAATCCATCACCTGCCAAGCCACAGTGACTGAGGATGATGGGAACTGTAGTTCAAGGGCAGAAGGCTATGGGAAAGCGATCATCTGGCCGTGAACAGCCTGGGACCGAGTTGACCACTTAAAGAAGGTTGGAGCTCATCTACTCCAAGCCCCAGTTACTCCAGCAGGAGCCCCTATAGCACTTCAGACACACTGTTGTCCAGTCTCTTCTTAAAAACCTCCACAACTTCTGAAGGCCACTGACACCTTGTTCTCACAGTCGGGACGTGTCTCCTCAGTTCTAGGTTGGTTTTCTCCGCCATTAGTTCCCCGGGAGCTTCATCCCTGGAGGCTTTCAAGAGGAGGCTGTCAGAAATGGGGGAGGGTCTCCTGCTTGGGCAGGGAGGCGGGTTGCACTGGATGACCTCCAAGGTCCCTTCCGACTCTGACAGTCTGTGTTCTAGTCATCCCAGCTAAGCGAAGCATCGCCCGCATCCGGCCGGTCCCGCCCAGCCTCCTCCCCGAAGCCGCATCTGCGTGGCCTGCAGGCTCCGGAGCGCTGGGCGGAGCGCAGGGGGGCGGCGGCGGCGGCGGCGGAGAAGAAGAGGGGTGGGGTGTCTCGGCCCGACCCCTCCCCGCCCGGCCCAGCCCAGCCCAGCCCAGCCGGATCTTTCTCTCTTTCTCTGCCGTCTCCGCCGCCTGGGATTCCTGCAGAGCCGTTCTTGGATTCATCCTCCGCTGCCCAGCTAGGTAGGACCCCAGAGAAGAGGGGAAACGTTGGGGAGACCCGGCCTTTGGGGAGGGGGCGCCCCCACTGCTGCCGACGGGGCGCGGCGCTTTGGCCACGGCTGGGGGCCTTCCCGAGCCCCGCAAAGCTGGAGAGCCGCGGCAGTAGGAGGGGGGGGGCGAGATGGAGAGAGATGGGGAGGGGGCGAAGGGGGATTGGGGAGAGGGAGGCCGCCGAGGAAGTGTGGCATTGGGGGGTGGGACGCGAGGGGGGAGGTCCGGGGGGCGCCCGGTAGCGAAGAAAGAAAGAAAGAAAGAAAGAAAGAAAGAAAGAAAGAAAGAAAGAAAGAAAGAACCGGCCGGCGTGCAGGTGGGACCCTTTGCTAAAGGAGCGCTCCGG